GCGCTGCTCCGCCGGCTAGCTCGCGCCCGGGATCGAATCGCCGCGCTCACGCGCCGCTGGACCGCACTCGCAGCGCTCGCTGCCCTGCGTGCACACGCGCAGAGCCTGCTGGAGCTGCTGATTCGGCCCTGCGACGCTAGCGACGGCGCAGAGCGGCAAGCTGCCGCTCGGAGAGCTCCTGGCGGAGCCGCCCTGGCAGCCAGCTCCGCCGACGCACAGGCGGACCAGTCGGAAAAAGGTGCGATGAAAAAAAAAAACCCAAACCTGACATCTTTTTCCAAACACAACAAACCTCTTCTACCAAAATTTCCACCACTTTTTCCATCAGGGCATCGTATAACTAGTGTCGCGAATCCAAGGACAAGTCGGTGGTGTTTACACAGATGCACATGCTCGGTTGAGGCGAGAAAGCCGGTGTGAATGCACCCCCAACTGCAAGAGCCATCGATGATTTGCAAAACTGTTATGGTTTGTGCAGAGAAAAGTATTTGGTTTGTGCAGCAAAAAAATGGTTGTCCATTGTGTGTTTTCAATGGGTGAAGCAATGAGCAAGGCATGCATATTCTCAAACGTATCTTTTTGGATGGAACTGTTTGGGCGGAGGTCGCTGCGCTGCGTGGCGAGATGTCTGCTTTGTTGGCGAAACAGAAGCAATCAGCCGAGGCAGGGTCGCACTTTGGAGTGTTGTGCGAATTGTAAACGTGTCCGGATCGGGAAGGCTGGTATGACACACATGGCACAACAAAAAAAGTATGCTGGCATGTTGTAGCAGGTAAATCTGTTTGCTCGAGCACAGGTTTCGCCGGATGATCCGGCACATTCCGAGCTCAACGCGGCTGTGGCGCAGTCACATGGCTATACTTGGGCACATGGCAAATCGGCACATGATGCGCTGTGGCTTGCAACATGTTTGCAGAATTTGCTGGAGTCTGTCAGGTTGGGAAATTTGTGCGAATGGACGTTGAAGTACAGCCAAGAAGCTGCAGGTGCGATTGCCAGTGAGCATCATGTGCATGTGTGTTTACTCGAGTTCTTGGCTGCATATGGCTGCCTTAAGTGGTCGGCCTCCAACACGGTTAGTGAAGCTGCGGCAGGTGGACAAGCTGCCTTGGCATCGCGGCTTGTGGAGTTGCAGGAGGCTGTCTGCAACACAGCAATGCCCCCGCAAGCTTGACGGTACCAACAGTTTTGCTGTGCAGCTGCACGCCTGCCCCTCGAAAACTTTTAGGCGCATTAGGCCGTGGTATGAAATGTTGGTTGCATCACACATTTGTGACTGTAGGTTTTCCGCTTGATAAAGCGATCGTTTGTGCAGGGCATGGCCAGACGAGCGCATTCAGCACATTAGACAGCATGGCCCGGCATGGCACAGATCAGCCATTAATCAAGATTCCCGGTTCGGCATATACATATGTTCCATATGTGCGGCTTGTTTGACCTTCACTTTCGTAAAATAGGACCACAGGAGTAATTACAACAGAACCCGGGGCTCACACAACTACTGCTCAGTTCTGTGACAGACGTGGCGTTTGAATGTCGCCTTGGTTTGATATGAGCAGTGTCTGATGTTCCACTGCAGCAAAAGGTTTTGCTGGTTCTCTATGCAATGTAAAGCCATGCTTGACAAGGAGACCGGCGTGGTTGCTTCAGCTATGCGCCGGCTGCGTGGCGGTTTGCAAGTGCACCACTTACAGCATTGTAATTTCATGCATGCCTCAGAGGCGAAACTCACGTCGTTTCACGGTTGTGTCGGCTTTGAGGTTGATGTCGAAAACGCTTTCAAGCAAATCATCAATGAAGCTGTGCGGAGCTCGTGCGTCGCTTTGCTTTGTTTGTCACACGTGGTGACGCAGTCGTGCGTTGCCCTTCAGATCGCCACATGCCATCGCACAAGATGGAACATGTTCGCCTTTGTTGCCCATGCACTACGGCTAAGCTAGCGTACCAATGAGTGGTGCCTATCCTGCCGACAAGACTCAGACACTGCGATTGGGATTCCAGGGCAGCAGCGCTGTCTTCGTCATCCTCCCTGGCAGATGCTCATCGAATCGTTGATCTCGGATGCCAGTAAGACCTTGCGTGTGTGTCTGCCGCTGCAATTTCATGTGCTGAACACGCAGAGGTCATGGAGATGTTAGACAAGAAAGACCGGATGAGGTTCAATAGGAACAGGCCACCAACATGGCATCGGGCATTGCGTAGCCGGATCTGTTGTTGCGACACAGCCTGGTGCAAGACCACAGCTTTGGCTTTTGAGCCCTATGCATGATACACCTTTATCTACGAGTAGACCTCAAGGCTATTCAAGGCTTGATAAGCCGTACGATAATTACGCCCTTCCGACCTTCGCGGTGCATCGTGGCGACCATCCTTCATATGTGCGGGAGGCTTGCCAATCCGAACGGTGTTATGTGCTTGGGCGCGAATGCAACTGCATTGTTTGAATTGCATCGTGCTTAACCTGCATTTTTCACACCGGATGGCATCGTGCGTCGGGCACACGAGAGGCGCTGAGATGGATGACGCCTTCGCGGCAAACGTGGCGCGTTTAGCCGCGCATGGTGTGGATGAGGCGAGGCACTTACTCGATGTGTGGCCGATGGCCGTCAGTGGTTCGGCTGATGCCGGCGGGAGTTTTCTTTTCATTTTTGGTTTACTGTATGGGATGCCATGCAAAGCTTGTTAAACAAACAATGACCTACAATGGAGACGATGGGTAGTTTCACTCTCGACCACTTCGCCGTCCCAGTTTGTTTCTTGGACCCCGGAGTCTTAAGGTTTCTCGATTGTTCAATCTGTTCTACCTTTTTTCACAACGAACCTGGTCTGTTTGCTTCGTTGCGATCTCACTTTCTGGTGTTTCGTGTGTTTCTCGCTGATGCAGGAGACAAACTTACGACAAGATAAAGGTATAAAAGTGTCGGGAATGAACAACTTTTGCTCGAAACTTTCGTTAACGTTTCAGCAAGCCGCACACACCCTAAATCTCATAAGCTCGCCAGCATCGGCTGTGCTGGGAGGTCGTGGCCCAAGCAGTTCTAAAGCGATTCGACGGCGACGGAGATGCTGCACTGGACGGTATTTGCTGTGCTCGTCCTGGGACAACAATACACGTAGATGTAATGGTATTCGTTGTTACGGTTCCCATATGAGGGACACCTTCTGCCGGTTCCGATGGGAAGGACTTCCTGCTGGACACAGATGAAGGTTGGCAATTCGCTGCCGAGACATTGCTGCCCAAGGATGCGCTTCTATTCAGAGGTTCAGAAATGGGTCCGGTCGCGTGGCTGGTGAGTCCAGCCCCGAGCACATTAATATGAGTTGTTGGTATTGGTTACATTGTAGGGTTCCTCTGGCACAAGCATTCACAGTGTAAAGGTTTCCTGACACACGTGATTCTTTGACCTTTTGGTAGTAGGGCTTGCAGATCAAACCACGTAATTTAGCAGGCCAAGCCAGCCAAGTCACCTGCAGGTTGCACACTTATTCTGTATCGCCCCTTCCCAGTTCGGAAGCGCAGGAAGTTGTGGAAGAGCTAGCAGCTCAGCCGAGCGATGTACGTTCAAAGTTACAGATGCTCGGCTGAAGCAAGGTTTGCACTTGACCTGAACTGTTGCTGCTGATCATAGCAAACGATGAGACGTGGTACTTTGCTAATTTCAACACGAAATCGTCAATGCGCCCAGAGGCTCCAAATGTGTTGTTGACTTCTGCAGCCTCCAAGGAAGGCATGTGCAACTGGATTTGCTCGAGACAACTCCGCCTTGCACCTAGTCGTCGCTTGGCGCTTGAAGAACCCTGAAGGATGTAATGTAAAGTGTTAGAAAACAAATTCCTTTGCTTTCTCTGGGCAACCCAGTAGCAAGATGTAGCAAGGCTCGTGTAACAGGGTTTCTGTCTTCGCGGACGGCTTGGGTAGGGATTAGGTTTGGAATCGCAAACGTTTGCTATTCACTTTATTCAGGCTAACTGACACGATTGAGCAGTGCCATTTGCGATGCTTCTTGAGTCATGGCTGCTTGGTGCCCCACCATGAGACCGAGGTGACGGACAGTGAAGGAGGACGGTGTTATCCCAGCACTCGAGCAAGCAGCTTTCATCCTCGGGTGCGCGCACATAGTCCGTGAGCGGTTTTCGTGACGGGCAAGCCAACAACTAGAAGATGAGTAGGGCAGCTTGTTCTGGAAGAAGGAGGGGGTCGTTTTGAATTGGGGCTTTTATCCGGAAACAACCTGACCACGAAATTAGCAGTTCGACTCCGAAGATGCTGCAGCCTTGGACGGGTGAAGCTTGCAGCGCAACTTTCGGTTTTCGGGTGCATGGATGTGCAGCGTGACAGCTGAACCTCTGTGTGCCCAGACCTTCAGGCGATTGCACACTTCTTGATGCAAAAAAGGGTACATACGCCCAAATCCCACGAGTGATGAGCTTGTCCAGGAGCATCGATCCGTGCAGCCATCGTTCGGTGCTTGGTCGCTAAGTTCCCGGATGTGGACCGCTGGGGGGCTTCGGTCTACTGTTGGACCTCGCCAACATCCGTGGTTTGATCTCTTTTTGGATCCTGCCCAGAGACGGTTAGGAAGGCTCAGCTTTTCTGAAGTGCGAAGCTCCGAAACACGCATGCCAGAGTCAGGCCAAGCAAGGCGCATCAGATTGATTTAGGGTTTAGGGTTTAGGGCTTAGGGCTACTATTTCTGAACCAATGTTGGGTTGCTTTTTCAGGAGGAAGGTACCTTCACAATCTACTGTAGCGGCTACTTACTGCAGGGTCAGAAGGTTTCAACAAAAAGGCGATTCCGAGACCATGTTCATACAGAGCTCCAAAGCATGGTGTGGGTTGGGTGAGTATGACTGCTTTGTGAACAGTGCTTTAAATGTACGAAGACCATACTCGTACCTCGTATCGACCTTTAATTTAAGATTTGAGCAGCACCGAACCTTGCGTTACGTGCATATCCTTGCAATGTGTGTGTGTGTGCGCATGTACATGTGATTATACGTATATGGGTATTTAAGCGGTATATGTTTATATATATGTATATGTACATTGCGCGCGGTAATAGGGACCACGCTCTGCTACTCCCGATAAACCCGATAAGCATGTTAAAGCCGATAAACCCGATAAACCCGGCAAGCCCGATAAACCCACTAAACCCGACAAGCCCGATACGCTCGATAAACCCGATACAGCCAGAACGCCGGACAAACCTGATTCAAAATAAAACCAGGGTCGCCCCATAAGTCCAAGGCTCCACCCTCGGAGTTTAAGGTTTGTAAGAGTTCTGTATTAGAAATCAGGGGCGACCCATGATTCCATGGCCCCACCCTCGGAGTTCAAGCTTTGTAGGCGTTCTGATTTAAAAACAAAGGCGCCCTCGGAGTTCAAGGGTCTTATATAAGAGTTTTGATTTCAAATTTCAGGGGCACCCTCGGAATTCAAGGTTCGTATATACAATATATAGAGGAGTTCTGATTTCAACATCAGGAGCGCCCCATCCCAAGGCTCCACCATCGGAGTTCAAGTTTTGTAAGAAAATTCAGGGGCGCCCAATCAGTGCAAGGCTTCACCTCGGAGTTCAAGGTCGTAAGAGTTCTGATCTAAAAGCCAGGGGTGCCCCATCAGCCCAAGGCCCCATCCTCGGGATTAAAGTTTTGTACGAGTTATACAATTCCTAGGAAATAGTCTAACCTTGGCATAGAGGTCGCCGCAGCGCAATTCCAGTGCAATCGGGCCATTCGGCGCGCGCAGCGCATGGCCATGATGTGGTCCCTGTGCCCGCGTGCGCTGTATATGTAATAAGTGGATATATGGTATATGTGTAATTACATGTGGTGTGTTCTCTGCCTGTTTGCAAGAACTCGGACCACGAAACCCGTAACCCAAAGGCGTTTCCTTCCAGCGTTGCTCTTTGCAGGACACTGCCTCCGCACACGGGGACACGCCTTTGCTTTTGGCGGTGCGTGCGCTTTCGATAGGCGGACTCTAGGGTTGAGGTTCGGGCCAGGGTTTACAGTTAAGGCTCTATAAAAAGGGGACTGAACAGTTGATGCTGTGATTGTTCCTGCATAGAAGTCTTTCGCAAACTACTTGTATGCCCGAAAAATGTATGCGAAGTATTCGCACTATGGCCGATTATGGCTTCTATACTATTGGATTGAGGATGATTGGGGGTTCAGGGGTTGATCTTGCGGGTTTAAATCCTTCGGGTTGAGGACTGGAGGTTAAGTTCAGGGGTTTAGGGCTTAGGGTTTGAATATTGTCCAAAACCCACACCAGGTACCCTGGAGAGGTGCAACTTCTGCAGTCCAGCCGGGTATCGAATAATTTGTGCTTGCGACAAATGGTCTCTTTCCCAGCGGTGCTTTCGCTGAGGACTCTTGCCTAGTCAAGCCGTTTGTGTTATAGGTACCCTCATTGTGCTTTACACTCAACTGTAAGTCTAAGTCTGGTTGCCCTGCCTGCAACCCGCCCGAATTACATGCCAAGCCCCCTTGTGCTTGAAGCCAGGTTCAGGGTTTGGGTTTTTAAGTTATCCTTTGCAGAGAGACTAGGTACAGCTTGATTAACACCGACGAGGACTCTTTAGAGTACATGCACAAGCCTTCCTTAGGATGCATTGCGCGATGATGACGCTCAACATGCTTGGGCACTGTTGTTGGTTGCTTTTGGTTTATCAGTAACCAAAATGCTGTGAAGCTTGAAGCATATAGAAAAGAACTTAGAGTCTTGGAGTCACTAGTCTGGTTTTCGTTTTGCTTAAATACTCTGGCTAATCACTATATGAGTAAGTTGCAATTACCATGTCTCAACTCGAGGTTCCCACATGTTTGGGTCTTAGGTAGTAAAGCTGCTTCCCAAGCAGTATGCAGTGTCTGGCACGCGAAATCGAGTCCATGCTCAATGCTCACTTCTTTGTGAAGTAGGCTTCTACGACACGGCTGCAGTAGGCGCTTACGACTTGCGATATTTCGGCAAGTGTGTCGGCGATACAGCCTGCTTCGCTCCTTTGACAGGGTCAGGGACCTGTGACGACCGCCTGGCCGTTGTCTCGGAAACCTGGCTAAAGTAGACTTCCACAAGAAGACCGTATATGAAAGGATTCATGACAATAATGTTCTTTTCTGTGTGACTGTCTGTGTGTGTATATATATATATGTATGTATATGTATCTGTATATGTATACGTATACGTATACGTATACGTACATGTATGTGTATGTGCATGTGGGTGTATGTATACATATATATATATATGTAAAACTTGTTCGGCCTCTTACGTAGCCGATTTAGCCGGCTATCGGCGAGGGTTCCACTCAGCCTACGGCTGGCAGGTGGGGGGAGCAGTTCGTCTGTTGCCAATATGACACATGCGTCTGGCAGGGAACTTGAAAGTGATGCCAGTACTTCGGGCGACGATATGTCCTGGCCCTTGATCCCTAATCGTTCTTCGCTCCCACAGTACAGTTCAAGCACACATAGGGACCAGAAGGAGATGATATTGCAAACTCTCTGTCATGCTTTCTCCCTCTCTGTCTGCAAGGATGAAGCATATCGCACATACATGAGTGTTTCTGGTGCCGACATTCGACGTGAGCCTTAAGAGCCAGTAGTTGCTACCCTCAGCCTGATAGTGTTTATGGAATCAATCCGAAATCCTCATGATTAGCTAAACTCTTAAGCTGCCTACAGGGAGACTGTTCCTGTTTAGCACAGCACGGTATGGACTATCAACAAATGCTCCGAAGGTTTTCATCTCCTTAACAAGCATCCGGAAATTGAGCAGTACCATGCAGGATTACACGGGACCAGACTGTGGTTGTATTAAAGCATACTTCTAGAGTGGATGAGCCTTAACACATATTCAGTCACGAAAGGAGCTTCTGGCGCATCGCGCCGACGTGAACCTGGCTGACCGGGAGGGCGAGACGCCCCTCATGGAGGCATGCCGTGCCATACCCTACAATACATTACAGCACAGGGCAGTCGAATACCTATAGGAATACATTTGACAACACATATAACATTTACCTATTCGCACCGACGCATACCAATTCAATACATTTATATTTGTGACATTTCATCACATCTGACAGTACATCGTGGATACGTGGATATATTTCAGGTCGCAGGCCCCTGTAATGGAGGTCCTTTTCTGTTGCCTTTTGGCTGCATAGGATCCTCAAGACCCTAAACCCCTAAAGCTGGGTGCCCAGGTGCTCCTTGAAAGTCCAACCGCTCAGCAAGAGAAGCCCCCCTAGCCTGAAAATAGGGTCCCTTTCAGGGCTTATAGGGTTTATAGGGTCCGCTTTAGAGCTTATGGGGTTTATCTGCAGCCCAAGGATCGTAAAGTTGCTTGGGAGGGCCCGTTAATTTCGACAAAACTCCCAAACCAGATCCCCTCAAGCTACGCCGCGCCTCCACCCTAAATTAAACCCTAAACCCTAAACCCTAGGGTTTAGGGTTTAACTAAACCCCTGACAGTCCCTGTACCGAAAGTTTGGCCCTTGACCCCACAGCACCCTAGACCCTGATGCTCACGCAATCGCCCAAGCAGCGCTGGTCCAGGCAGTGTGCCTTGATGATGTGGGATGTGTCCGTTTGCTGCTGTCAGTGTCCTGGCAGAAGGTTGAAGATCTAAACGATAGCGCTTGGCATTCAAGGCTAGGTCTAGGTCTTAGGTGCGTGGAGTTAGGTTTGATACATACGGGTTTGGCATTCGGGGTCCCAAAATCCGTGTGGAGCTAGCAGCTAAAGCTAACAGGACAGGTTCGGATCT